AATCACACAGTACCTGGTCTTTTATCTTCCATAAGTAAGTACGAGGTAAACTTTTACTGATAATGATCAAACTCTAAAACGAATGTGTCTCAAGTCTGGGTCCAGGCCTCATTCTGTTTCCTGATAGTAGACCATCACCCTCACTAGGGCTAGCATCCTAAACACAGTGAGCCTCGACCTCTAAGACAGGGTGCCCCCCACCTTCTCACCCCCAAATAATCTGGATTAGTGGTATTTCCCAGGGCATTCAAATGTTACAATCACAAGGCCTTTGGCCAATACCTGTTCAGATAAAGTTAAGTGAAAACCTTTCTTACCGCTATCAGTTTCTCTAATACATTCTTGCATGTTTGCTTTCTGTCACTCAGCACATCCTTTTGCTTCATTAGGACACGGTAGCGACTGAAAAATTCTTGGTAAGTCCACCTACGTAAAGAAACTCACATCAGCTTATTTAAAGAGGTAAGAATGTCTCCCATAGGATTCCTTATATTTGAAAACTGCCACGCTCACCGTGAGGGGAAGCCTGCTGCACTGATGCGGATGGTTTCCAGGACACCACACGCTCTCAGTTGCTGCACCGCCCTCTTCTCATCAAACCTATGTGTAAAAGTGAGCATCAGTAATACACAAAGAAGCCTGGTTATAGCCACAAAGTACTCCCCTCAGTCCAGAGAATAAATTCTTTTGTAAAGAATTAAATGGATAAATTAGAAAAGAAAACATTCCAAAGTTGGAGCAGTGATCAACAGGGAGAACTCTGTGTGACAGTGGGGAGGAGACAATCAGCAGGAAAGATTAAGAGCTGTAAACATTATCTGTAGCTCATACAACAGACCCATAAGAATACCACTGAGCATATTTTTAAAAACCCAAGCCCCTCTCTATTTTGCCTATACTCATTAAATGGCTTGGCCTGATGAGCTGTTTTCTTAATTCTTTAGCTCACTCTATACACCTACCTGGAATAAAGACTGGCCAGCTCTGGAGATTTCTCTAAGAGGAACAAATTAAATATGCCCCATTCAATTATTTAAAAAAATATATTGGTGTTCTAAAAGCTATTCAACTTTGTGTGTGCATTTATAGTGTCCGCATCAAGGAGAAATATTTTTATTTTGTATTGTATCTTATATATGTTATGTTTATTTTACTCATATTTACTCATGCCGTTAACTGGCGTGTAACATTAAACTGACACTAGAAGAGGAAGTAGCGAGGCCTGCTTCCTGCTGGATGATCACTCTTTGTAGACCCCCAGTTAAACCTGGAGTGCCCTATCCGAGCCTCCTGCTGTGCTGTCTTGTCAAGCATTCTGTTGGTGGTGGGAGATGGGGTTGGCTGATAGAAAGTAACACCCCTAGGTTTGTCCAGGAGAGTGGCCCTGGATGTGGCAGCTTTTCCTGCCTCCCATTTCCTCCAGAAAGGGCTTCTCGGCACCATTCAGAACTGCCCTGCATCTAAGGCAGAATCTCAGAGGATAGGATCGGCAGGATGTAGGAAAATGAGCACTCATACATTTTAGGGTGGGAGTGGGAATTATTACAACCTTTGGTAAGTGTGCCTAATCTATGACCCAGAAACTCCACTTCTGGAAATATATTATCCTAAGAAGATAATCAGGCAAATATACAAGAATGTTTGGCAAAATGTATTTATTGTAGCATCGCTGGAGTAACTTAAATGGTCATCAACAGGGAATAATTTAAATAAATGATGGTATGTTTATACAATGAGATACTATGTAGTCATTAAAATGATAATACAGATTTTTACTTTCTAACATGTAAAATATCCATATTAAGTTAAAAAGCAGATATAAAACAGCAATTACAGCACAAGTTGCTTCCTTTTATTACTGTCTCTCTTTCTCATTCTCCCTCAGTCTCTGTCTCTGTCTGTCACACACACACTCAGAGCAGAGAAGGAAGGGATGTTGGTTGGTCAAGAAGGATCTATGTGAGTTAATACCAGTTATCTCTCAGGGTATAATGAATGTTTTTTCGATTGTTTTTATCCTATTTCATATTTCTTAAAAACTGTTTTTGCAATGCACATGCATTACTTTCAAAATTAGAGAAATAAATATTTACATTTTTGGAAAAAGAAAAAAAAACTTCTCCCTTATACATGGTATTTGTGTAGGATGAAACATTTGGTAATAGTAGACATTCTCTGATGGCATCAACAGTTGAAAAGTAGCAGAGAGAACTGTGAACATTCACCAACGCAGCCTTATCCAATCCAGCTCTGGAGTTGACTAATGCCCAAATTAACAAAAGCCCAGAAAGATCTTGAACTAAAATAAATTCAAAACAGAAGGTAGAACTAGGAATGCTTGGTTGACCTCAACTTCTAAAATCTTTAAAAGACCACCGGCTGATTTACCGCTAATTTGTTATCGTATTCTCAAAGGGAAACAAAAACTAAAAAACAAAAACAAACAAACAAAATTTACCCAAATATTTTTTTCCTTCTGTTGGTATGGAAATCCTTATGGGAGGTGAACCCTTTTCAATTTAGTAGTTGGGAAATACTTACGTGAATGGGAACTTGAAGTCATTGGGCTTAATACAGCGCACATAGTGAGGGGTAGTGGCATTGAGGGTCTCCATAAGCAGGTGAAGGGAGTTTCGGAACTGCATGGAAAACAGAACAGAAAGGGACATCAAGGTTTTGTCAAAATCAATGATGATATAAAACAATTAAAAAAATTTTAATGACACTATGGGAGATGATTTTGCCACCTATGAATTTGATCCAGCCTCAAAGGGGGGCTGCTACTATTTAAGAATACAGGGCTTTAGGTTAAGATTTGCTTAAACTCTGCCATTTATACAGGCTTATTCTACTAATATACATTTGTTCTTCTCCCACCACTTTTCCCTGCCACTCCTTTTTTACAGACTTATTTTCTTAGAGCAGTTTTAGGTTCATAGCAAAATTAAATAGAAGATACAAGGATGTGGGTGCCTGGGTGGCTCAGCTGGTTAAGCATCTGACTTTGGCTCAGGTCATAATATTACAGTTTGTGA